AGAGCCCTCCCCATCTCCCATCTCCCAGCCCTTGGCATGACATCAGGCAGCTCGGGGCCGGAGACCCTCTTCAGCATCAGTTGCCTGACTTCTCGCCAGGCTCCGAGGTCAGCCTGCCTGGCCTCACCGATAGTTCTTCATGTCTCCGAAGGATGGAGGGCAGCGGAATCGACGCGGCCCCAGAGGACAGACACTCCTGCTCACGGCCAGCAGAGCTCAGGATTCCTGGGCTGTGGAGATGTGGCACAGACCTGCGATGCTCTGTCATTTGGGATGTCTATGAACAGCCCTGAGTCACTTTTTTTTTTTAAAAAAAAAGCACACGGTTCTGTTCAACACGCGTTGAAAACGAATTTCAAAGTCTTAAAAGTTCTCTAGAAAATTATATACTTGTGTTCTAGCCAGCCCTACTCGATCCTAGCAAACACAGTATTTTGATAACATGGTCAGGGCTTAGCACGGTTGGATAAGTAATAAATTGGCCAAGAAATGAAACTGATTTTAAAATCACCCTTTCCAAAGAGATACCCTTTGAGGAAACTCTTTATGTTCTCCTCAAACCTAAATTACTTTAATTTCTTATCTCTTTTATAACTCCAGACTAGCAGAGAGAAAACCACTCTTTTCTAAAGGCAGAGATGACCCCCTCGATGGAAGGGCACGCCAACAAGCACATCCATTAACCTTCTCATGGGAGGGGGGGGAGCAGAGGCTTTGCAACACCTCACTCAGGCTCCCCCATCTTCCTCTGCACAACAAAAATTAACCGAAGATAATCAGAAAAAAAAATTAGTTGACAGAAGTAGTTTGTGCTTTGCTTAGCACGGCAAAAACTTGGTCACAGATACCAGATAAAATTACTGGTAAGCGAGGTGACCCAGGAAAGCCACACTGTTAACGCCCCAGAGCTGCTTGGCAGGAAAAAAAAAAAAAAAATAGTGGGGAGGAAGTGAAGTGGCCAGGAGGAAGATTCAGGCTAAAAGTTCCCAGATACTGCTTAAAGATGTATTCTCCAGTTCTGTAGGAGAGGGTTACTGAGCAGCATTTATTTATTTCCTGTCGTGTGCAGAGAGATCTCCTGGCAAGTGATTATCTGCCCCAAATTTGCAGGGGGAAATATTTTGCCTTTCCCCCTCCCCTTAAGCGTGTGTTCACGTGGTGCTTCCCCGGGCTGGCAGACACTGCAGAGACAGGCGCTTGCCCCAAAGGAAAACTCAAAAAAAAAAAAAATTAACATAGAGAAAACCCCACATGGGGTTTGGGAGGCCAGATCAGTGCAAATAACTCTGCGTAGCACCCCGAGGACAAACCTGCTCCAGAAACCGGAGCCAGATCCGCTTCCAGCCTTGGTTGTCTAAAATACAAGATAAATGATAAATCTAATTGCCTCATGGCCCACAGAAATCAGCAACGCTCAGTTCCTGCTTCCTCACGTTTGACCATACATGGTTTGGGCTAGAGGTGGCGCGGATCTGGAAGGAGAAGGGGACCGAGACAGGACAAGGGACTTCCCAGCCGAGCACGGCGAGCTTGGCACCGTGGGGTGCTCCAGCCCCCCCCGACCCTGCCCAGGCCGCCGGGTCTCGGGGGCTCCGCAGCACAGCCCCGAGCACCGCGCAGATGAACCTTGCTGGAAGACGTACAGCACAGATGCTCGCGGCTGCCAAGGGGTGAGGTCACTTTGGAAGGAATTTTATTTATTCAGGAAATATTTCTGGAAATATTTACATGTCAAGATTACATGTTTAAATTCTTTGACAAAGCGAGCTCTGGGCCACAGGCAGAATTTCTAACAAGCCTTGCAAGCGTTTCTTCAGGTTTTCCTACACACAAAAGGATTTTACTGTATCACTGTTCTGGTGGAAACAACAGATCCATCTCCTTACTTTAGAGAAAGAGGTCCCGCATTGAGCGGGAGGCTGCGATTTCTGTTCGGTGCAAAGACAAGGAAAAGGAGTCGCTTCACTTGGGCTCCGGACAACGCGCGCAACCAGATCCTCTTTATCAGTGCAGAGATGTAAATTCAGTGAAGCTCCTGCGTAGGAGAGGGCATCCAGGCCTGCCAGGGTCAAGCAGAGGAGCCCTGGGAAGCTGCCCTTGCCTCGGGCACGGCTAACGTTTAGGGAAGAACAAGCTCTTCTGAGTGTTTTAGATTTCGACTTACTGACAGAACCTCGGCAGCTGCACGGGGGATAAAATTCTGTCCTCTTAAATATATATTTAAATATATATTTTAAATAAAGTAGTTTGCAGCTCCGCAAGGCTGTTACCCAGCACTAAGAACAGGCACTTGAAGGAAACATTCCTGTTCTAGAAAAAAGACATAATCAAGCCCTCCATTGTGTTTTCTGTCTGCGAGAGGAGCTCAGCATCTCACTCGATCGCTGTGGAGGACAGAGGAGATGAGCACAGGTAGGAAACGCTCCCTCCGGCCGTTTCCCATGCAGAAGCTGTGAGTTCAGGCTGCAGAGAGAAGTTGCAGGGTGGGGGCTGGGTAACATGACAGGTACCTGTAAAACTGTGAGTGGGAGAGACACTAATAGGGAACGAGTTCATCACTGTCTCAGTCTGAGAGCCAGAGGCCTCCAACGAAGTCATCGCGTGGCGGCTCCCACGCGAACAGGAGGATGTGCCGCCGCACGCGGCACAGGCTGGGGAAGGCGGCCACGGGTGGTACCACAAGCTCACATCTGCTCAAAGGCTCTTTCAGAGGGTTTTTTTAAGAAGGAAAATCGTCTGTCTAGAGCTCCTAAGCCTAGAGCCACCACCCTGGCTCAGAGGGCCCAAAGCAAAGCAGGAGGGAAGTGCCAGCTCCCGTCCACCCCGCTCCTCCCGGGCACCCACCGCCGGCAGCATCCCCAGGGACACTCCCTTAGCTGTACTAAAGGAGTAGTAAGCGATCTTAAACCAGAAAATGAAGCTAGCATGAACTGACGATAGTATGTGTTGGTTCTAATTTTCCAATGTGCTGTGATATCTACGCTACTCTTCCTCAATTATTACCAGATTCACGAGTTTGATGTGAAATTCCCAGAAGCACGGGGGGAATTGTGGCACAGCACGGCCTTTTAACAGATTCAGCAGTGTTATTCCTGGAGTTATGTCTAATATTTCTAAAGTTATATCCAGATCTAAGTCTCTACACTCCGCCTGAAGGGAAAAAAATTAGGCTAATTAAATACTGGAACAGAAGATGACTGCAGAGCAAGAGCAAGATTATTCAGAGAGCTTAAGGCAACACCACTTTATCTGGTTAATCATAAAATCACAGTCATTGGCATGAGAAAGAAGCGCAGAAATGCTTCTTCAGGCTTGAAAGTTTTGGACTGAACCTCTAATCATAGCTCAGCTTCACCAAGTGCAAACTCACCTTGAACAGACTCAGACACACACACACACACAGTGTTCATGGGAGGCCTTTGTTAAAAAAAAACCCCAAAACACAAAACATACAAACCACAACAAACACACCACCAAAATAACTCTCGTGTTTTATAGCACCGGGATGGTTTTGCTTTGCCCAAATATTCATAGCGAGGTATCAAAAAAACATTTCACCTGAGGAGCTACAGTTCAGTGAGGATTTTCCACGTGAGCCTCCCACTTGGAGCCTGCAATAAGCATCGTGCCGATCTTCTCCATGAGGCCCTTTGGAAAGGCAAAATCTGAACTCTTTTGTCCGCTGGCCTTGACCCTGGGGCTCACTCAGGAGGCAACAGATACCTGCAGCCCCTTCCACAGCAGGTGAACTGCCAGCCCGCAAGGACGGAAACAGCAGCTCCCCTTTGGGGTAGACTTGCCCTAAGCAACGGCACTGACACAGAAACCGTCTGGAAGCGATCGTCTCACACACAAACACACTGTTTGCTTTTCAGTGCCCCTTACCTGGTGGCTGGGCACCATTCCAGGTCTTCGGCTTCCCACCCGGAGAGGTGCAGCTCTCAGCACGGCACTTTGGGCTGGCACTGATAGTAGCTTTATTCCCTTCATATCTCGCAAATCTGAAAAACAGATAATTGGAAAACGTTGGCAAGGCATTTGTTCCCTGGAAATAGGTTTTGTGCGTTTGACAATGAAAACCCCAGTTTGTTCTCAACAATCTCAGAAGAGTTCAACCAAGAGAGGCTGTGAGTGAACAGTCTCAGGTTTACCAAAAGAAAAAAAAAAACCAAACATTTAAGCAAGACTCAGCAAAAAGAGAGACTTTGCCTCACGGGATGTTGTCACTCTCGCTGCAGCAGCTGCTCGAGCAGCATTTTGCGCCAGCATGGGCAGCAAGAGGCGGGAGACGAGGAGCAGAGGGGTCCTGGCACCAGCACTGCCCCTCTGCCTCTCCTCATTAACCATCACTGACCTCTGGGAGGGGAGTTCCCACACTGGCCTAGAACAAATCAAACATCACCGCCTTGTTGTTCACCCTGTAAAATGTCTGTTCAGGTCCTTCAGAACAAGAGACACCCTCCTTAAATGGTCCTAGAGAAAAATTAGATAAGTTCACAAGAAGTGGTTCTAGGGTCTGAGCTTTCCGCTGTTAAGCACATAAACATTTTACCTCACTTTCCCAACCTGTCATCTCCTCCAGTTCTTCACACCTCTGCCGAGGAGTCATTCCTACATTGGAATTCTTCCTGGAGCCCTTCAGCCTTCTACCCGGCCCTCTACAGCAGGGCAGCACCACCCTCTGAGCCACGTCACACCCACAAGCCTTTTCCACCTAAGCCTAATGCTTAATTTATATCCTCTGACCTTCCCAGGCCTGGGATTACTCCTTGATTACCTTCACTTCTGCCCTGACACCTGTGTTGCCCTTCCTCAGGACCGTTAACCTGCATTGCTCGTGGAGAGGAGTTAGCATCTGCTCCCGCGGTGGAGCAGCTACATCTACCCGCACTGGGGAAAATCTTTTATTCTAGGCAAAACAAATATTTATGAGCAGAATTTACTTTTAATGTCAATTAAAACAACAAAAAGTAAAAGAAGGGAAGTCTACATGAAGAATCAGAGCTCTGGTTTCCTTTGAAACAGCCTGTCCTGGTGTGACCGTAGGATGCCTACACGTGCCACATACGGTTCTTCACGCCCCCTGAAAACTGATTCTAACTGTTGCTTGGATGCTCATCAGCATTATTTATGGGATACGTACGAAGATAAATACAGCAATATATTCCTGAAAGAATATAATTCTGATGGGACTGGGGAGATGCTAAAATGTAGGAGCCCTGGGATTAACAGCCTGAACTAATATCGCAATTGTCATCACATTAGGAGGATCTTGGGAGACTGGATACTGATATAACTGTGGTGTGAAATCAAAATCTTGTCATTTATAAAGGGAAAAAAAAAAATAAATTGTTCCTGGCGTGCAGACAGCTAGTTATGCATGAGTGTAGCACATACAAACCACAACGTTAGAAAAGCCCCAAGAGATGCTATAATTCCACAAATATAACTATTCAGTATATTCAAATAAAAAAAAAAAAAAACCCACAACAAAACCCAACCATCTTTACCACAATCATCAATCAGTTATTTACATAATTTTAGGGACCTGTTATTCTGTTTTTCCTTTGATATTCCTTATTTCTTATTAGCATGCATTTGCGATAATTGAGCCTCGTGAAAAACCTCAATATAAGCTAAAGACCGTTGTCTGCTTGACTGTGAGGGACAGTAAACAGCAGTCGTTTGCTACCACAAACAGCTTCATTATAATTATCCTTTAGTGAAGAGCTGAATTGTGAATGCTTTCATTTCTCTTAAAAAAGAACCATTAAGTTTTGCCTGCACAATCGGTTCCTCAGACGGTCCGCTAAGCCACATTAGCAAAGCTACTTCACCCAAAAACTCATTTTAACGCCATTTCACCAGCTCATAATTTCTAAAGGAAAGAACCAACCAGGGAAACTGCTTGCGATCCCCGGTTGGTTTGGAATGCAGAGAGCTGCCCGTGCGCGTATCAGCCTCCCGAACGGAAGGGCCGAGCGCCCCTGCCGTGTCCGTGCCTCTGTCCGCGGTGGTTTATGCCCCGTGGAACGGGGAAGTACCTGGTGGTCGCACCCTATGTGCAAGTTTTAAATCCATTTAATGGAGCATCTGCATCCCAGTGAACGGTGGTGCCCAAGGGCCTGTGACTCGGGTCCCCTCCATCGCTCACGGCCAAACTGTGACCCTGGTCCCCTCCATCGCTCACAACCGAACTGTGACCCTGGTCCCCTCCATCGCTCACGGCCGAACTGTGACTCCTACAGGGAACGGCCCAAGGCGCGTGTGCCCACGGGCTGTGCCCGGGTGGGCTCCGGAGCTGGTGCTCCCTCTGCAGCTCCTGTCTCTCTGCGAACGTCCTGCACGCACACAGTGACTGTGTGAACTCTGACCAGCTGCGCTTCCAGAATTAAAAGGTTCATTTCTGTGCATGTCCAGTCCAAGCTAAGTAAAATATGCACTTTGTCTGGCATCTCGCCCCACGGTCGTCTCCTGCAAACACGCACTGGCTCAGGAGGAGGGGGAGGTATTTAGAAACGCCCGTCTCAGTGGTCCCTTCCTCCGGCTCTGCTCAGAGGTGTCAGGCTCAGTTGGCCTCAGTGAGTAAAACGCCAAAACAGCCTTTCTATTTAGCTAGGAAAAACTTGGTCTCGGACTAGATGAGATCATGGTTTGCGATAACAATTGCATTCCTTTTATTCCCATCCCACAACCGAATCTGGGTTGCCGCCACTCGTGTCAGCAGGACGCTGCTACTGGGAGAGCCCACGCGTGGCCTCGCGGCTGCCACCTCCACCAGGCTCGGCTCTGCCCGCGCCGCTGCGGACGCGCCGGGAGGGAACGGAACCGCCAATGCTGCCCTAACCCGGCACCCGGACTCAGGGACAACGAGCTGCCCTAACCCGGCAGATCCCGAGCATCCGGGAGTTGTTCCTTGTCATCACAACTTCACCGCCCCCGTTTCCTCTTGTTGGATGGAGAGCAGGACCAGAACCGGGCTCTAAGGTGGCTTTTTGCTTCGGCTAACTAGGTTTCTGTTGCCTGTGGAAGGCAGAAGGCCAACTATTCTTAAATATCATCACAAGGGAGGCGGGAACATGCAGTGACTTGGACGCTCCTGAGTACGTGTCTGAAAACCCCGGTCATGTGAACAGAGACGCTAAACGGCTCCTGGACCCTTCACATTTCTCCAGTCTGAATTATAGTACAGACATGAAATCTGGATACTTATCTTAGAAAAGGTGCATCTGTAATGAGCAGAGCTAACAAATAATTGAAGAAGGTAGAGTTAGTGCTCGCTGCTTCAGGATTTGAAAGTAAAATGAGCAAATAGGTATTTTACCTGCTCATATTTGAAGCAAACTAAATCCTAATTATTGTGGATGCCAACATCCTGGGTGAAATCAGTATAATATGGGCTAATTAATTTGTGTTGTCTCCTCTTGGAAAGGAAAACTGATTTTGGAAATTCCATAAGGAAGGCCCAGTGGAGCTGGGAAATGCCAAGATCTATGGATGGAGTAAAGTACTCGGGCTATTCTAGCGCTCTCTCTTAGAAACATCCTTGTAAGTGGAAATGCAAACACCGTATGCTCTTGTTGAGGTTGTAATTAATGTAGTTGGGAAAGGAACCAATGTAAACTATTTTTCACAACAGTGAACCTTTATATAAGGTTGGACTATTTAAGTTCACGCCCAGTAGGTAAAGGCAGAGAGGGAAGTGTCAGGCCATATTTATGAACAGTCAAGGTTGAGCTGATTTTCATGATACTCTTCAGTAATGGTTTCTAATTCTGACGCTCAGCTTAAGGGCCCGGGAGCTCAGGTCTTCTCAGCAGCTAATAAAACATCTTTAAAATTCAGATGTGAGTTAATGCCCTGCGCCCTCGGGGGTGGGTCACCTTGCCTGTGCCCAGGCCCAAAGACACCGGACAGACTGGGAAAAGTTTTAGTGGTGGGAGAATCTGGAATAGCTGGAGGTATCTGGAGCTGCTGCCCGGCTGCCACCCTGCAGAGAGGGGACCTTCTTGGCACGTCCCCGGGACTCCTCGCCCACCAGCACCAGTCACCCCCTTTGCTTTAGCTTCCTCGGGACGGCACCAGCACCCCGGGTCCCCGAGAGGGTGGTGGGGTCAGGTGGGAGATGCCTGGCCCGAGGCAGCTGCTGTCCTGGGGTCAGCGACTGCAGCCAGCGCCGCCCGTCTGTCCCCGTCCCTGCGCAGCCGCTGCCCCGCGTCCCCGGGGCTCGGGGACACAGCGCGGCAGCATCGGGGGGAGAGGCCACCCAGAAATGGAGATCAAAGGAGCAGACGATGCTTGGTGGCACTCTTCATGTTGAAATATGTCATTAATTTTAATCGAATTATAATTTGATGAAATGTGTTTTTTATAAGAAGGATTAAGCATACCCTGATCCCACCGGCTCGCTGCAGCACAGCGAGGTTTAAAGTTCTTGCTTTTGCGGGCAAAGGACAGTTCTCGTGCCTCTGTCCCTGCGCAGGAGCGGGCAGAGCCGAGGCGAGAGCCAGGCTGGGCCGGTGGAAGCTCCCGTGTGTCTCCTACATGGGAGCACACGGCCACGGCTCTCCACAACGCTGGCACGTACATCCCGGGAGAGGAGAAATTAGTATTAAAAATTTCATGCATCAGAAGGAGATGATTAATTTTCTTCCAACTAATTAATGAAATGAGATAATTTTCCACCTACCCATCCGGAGCCCAGCAAGATCAGCAGAAAGACTCGTGTTGACTTCAGAGGATTTCGCACCAGTGTCATTTTACGGTTCACTTCAGCAGCATGATACATTTATATTGGGAAAGGGAGGTTATAGGATTTGCTGGGAACAGGATCATTTTTCAGAAAGAAGGATGTTTACCTACATTTTCCCTGCTGCTCGGGAAACTGAAAGAGAGCATTGTTGTTTTGTTTTTAATTAAAGTTTTAGCATTCATCTCAGCCACTGTATTGACTTTTTAATATATGAATAAATATTAAAAAGCACATATATTTTATACTCCCTGCTCTGCATTTATTCACTGCAACTTACAGGATTCTTTCCAGCGAACTGAGTTATACATTTTCAGCAGCATCCTGCCACATCACAGAAAAAAAAAAAAAAAAAAAAAAAAAAAAAAAAGTAAGTAGGGCAGAAAAACCACCACATTAACCCACTGCGTCCTGAAATGAGTGTGTGCTCCGCTCAGAGCAGACTCGATCATTAATAGGTTTTGTACCTATTTATAACGAGGAGGCTACAGCATTTCTGAAACATCCTGTAAACATTAATCCTCTGCGCGCACCCACGATGTTGCCAAGTATCACTTTCCTGCTTTCAAATTACGGGCAGGATGATTCCCAGACATAAACATCGGCGCTCAGATGCCACAGTGATGGGCTTCAAGTCAAAACCGCCTTCGCCACTGACAGAGCTCGGAGCAGAGCTCGGGGACCCCACGTGCCACGGGCTGGGGGGGTCTTCAGGGGAAAAAGAGGGTTGTGACAGAAAACGCCACTCCATCAAAACCCAGCAGTCTGGAGGTGCTTACAGGTTTTGAGACGCTTTCCGCAAGCTCGCCAGCAGTTTTCCCGCTCTCCTCCCCGTCCACCCCAGCTCACCCAGGAGCAGGGTCTGATCCAGCCCTCCCAAAGCTTGTCTGGGCGTTGAGGTGCACCAAGAACCCCCTTT